CACATTTTGTAAAACGGAATATTTTAGTGTTATTAAATTTTTATTAAAAACAAAATTAAAAGATTGCTTTTTCCCGATCTCTGTTTTCTTTTATCCTTAGAAACTGCCTTTTTGATATAACCTCAACAAAAAGCTATAAGCTTATATTGGCGCGCGCGTTGGACGAGCTTATTTTTGCGCGCGCGACAATAAGCTGATTTTTCATGAAAACAGCTTTTCAATCATCCGGAATAAGCTCACCGAGTCCGTTGCCGCGACGAAAATTAGCTCGTTGTCGCGGCAAAACGCGCTGAACCGCGGCCGCGGCGGGGCCCAACGCGCGATAGTGAGCTCATTGTCGTCGCAAGCCAAAAACAGTTTAATTTAAGAGTTATTCGAGCGGCAATTTGCACAGTCTTCGAAATGGACGTGCGCTGGAAACATCCCTGGACGTCGATTATTTGCGGTCCTACGGGATGCGGGAAAACAATTTTTGTAAAGACTTTTCTCCGTTATTTGCCGAAAATGGCGAATATTCGATTCGGGAGAATTTTATTTTATTACGGCAAGTGGCAAGAAGCCTATCTCGAGTTGCAACGCGAGATGACGACAGAAAAATGTAAAATCGAATTTCGCGAAGGACTATCCCGCCTGGAAGATTACTCGAACAACCCGCTTTGTGCGAAATTAATAATAATCGACGATCTTATGCGAGAATCGTCGTCGTGCGAAGTGATCGTTGATTTGTTTACCAAGGGTAGAAATCATAAAAATCTTAGCGTTATACTTATTTCACAGAATCTCTTTCATCAGGGACGCGGTCAATGCGATATTTTGCTGAATGCGAATTACATTGTGGTTTTCAAGAACCCGCGCGATCGCGCGCAAATTCGCCATCTCGCGCGTCAAGTCTATCCCGACGACGCAAAGTTTTTGGAAGAAACGTACTACGACGCCACTTTGCGTCCTCACGGTTATTTACTGCTCGATTTGAAACAATCAACACCGGACGAATATTGTTTTCGAACGTGTATCTTTCCCAACGATCCGCGTCAGTACGTGTACGTACCCCGCAGATCCCTCGCGTGAAAACAACCGTATAAAAACCCGAAGCACACGAGTGAAGGGCATCATTCGAAGCTACGATGCCGTCGGAGACGAAGGAGCGGAAGAAGCAACAAAAGGCGCATATTAGAGCTAAACGCTCTCTCGGTAAAAAAACGACTGTCTACTGAAAGCTCTGTCTTCTAGATAAAAATCAACGCGCTGCTTTTCTGCGAAACGCTGATAACAAATTCATCGCGTGTATTCGCGAGTGTGTCCACAATACGCTCAGAGATAACGTACCGTTCAAAAAAAGAGAGAAGAACCGCTTAATCCGATACAAAACGGCGCTGCGACGTATCGCAAAACGGAGAAGTACTTGGAGGTGCAAGAGAAAGCTGCTGGTGCAACAAGGAGGCTTTTTACCNTACATCATCGGGCCCATACTCACAGCTTTATTATCTCAAATTATTGAGTAATCGTGGAACGGCCTAAAAAAATGGTGCTGATTTCCACGGATAATCTCGAAAAAATACAACAACGAATGGCGGGGGAAAATACCGCTGCTAATACCACACGCACTCCCGGAACCGTGCTCTCGCGTCTCGACGCGGAGATGAGACGTATTCTCGATTCCCCTGTTGATAAAGGTGAAAAATGGAAATTGTACAGCAAAGTACTTCGTCGATATCTATATTTTATCCGAAAAACGAGAAAACGTTCTCGCAAAGAAGAAGATCCATCCGTGGCGGAAACAACTGCTGTGATTGGTGGAGAAAGGGAAGAGGAAGAGGAGGACAAGGAAATGAGAGAACTATTTTACGACGCGGAAGAACCAATGGACGCTTTGCCTCAAACATCCTCTGTTTTACCAAAACATTATTCAACACCATTACGACACAATAATAATAATAATCAATATCAACGGATTAATCAGTCAACTCCGAAGAAAAATATATCGTTTGCAGATATTTCATTTAACAACAGCAGCGCAACAAGCTCTCGCAAACGAAAAATTATAACAAACATAATAGAAACAATTCCAAAAACTTACCGCCCCAAAGCGCGAATGCTTTTGAATCATCTGATCAAAACGGCTGTTCCCGTCAAGATTACATGGAACAAACGCGGCGTCGTGACTAAGAGTCCAGAATTGGTGGGNGCAAATATTGTGGAACTCGTAAACGACGCGATGCAAGAAAAAAAAACCGCTGGAATACTGGGGGCCATTCATTTCGCTCATTTACTTCACGACATAAACACGCCTCCTCAATACGTGGAAAATCCTAAATATTTATGCTTTTTGCGAAAAAGAGGAAAACAACAAAGCGCAAATCTCCGCATAGTATTGAACAAGAAGAAGAAGCCGAAGAGGAAGGATGGGATTACCGCGCCACCGACAAGAACAAGAAAAAGATACGAATCGGGATTCCGAGACGGCTGCTCACGTGGGACGAAATGTAAACGAAACGCTTGACAAGTTGTATTATAATCCCGCGCATTACGCTGGTTACTCGTCGACGGAAAAGTTGTCGCAAGTTGCTAAATCGAATTACTCGCGCGAGGACGTTGTTCGCTGGCTTTGTTCGCAAGATGCTTACACGCTACATCGTCCCGTGCGGCGAAAGTTTCCCCGACTGCATTACAACGTGACGAATATCGACGATCTCTGGGAGGCTGATTTGATAGAATTGCGAAATTTCCGAAGCTAAAACGACGGATATTGCTATCTACTGACAATTATCGACGTGCTCAGCAAATTCGCGTGGGTGGAACTGTTGCGAGACAAAACAAGTGCTCAAGTCCTTCGTGCGTTTCAACGCGTGCTCTCGAGAAGTAGCGGACGAAAACCCGTATATCTGCAAATCGACAAAGGTAAAGAATTTATCGCGCATCCGCTGCAAAAATCTCTCAAGAAAGAAGGAATTCGTTTCCGTGTGGCGCGTAATCCAGACGTTAAAGCAGCCGTGATCGAGCGTTTCAATAGAACGCTAAAAGAGCGCATGTGGCGCTACTTCACGCACAAAAACACGAAACGTTACCTCGATGTCTTGCAGGATATTGTGCACGCGTAAAACCATACGCCGCACTCTTCCATACGCATGAAACCCGCGGATGTTACGATAGAAAACGCGAATATTGCACGCGAAAACACCTGGCATCGCTGGAAAAAACAGCGAGCGAAAGCAGCTAAATACTCCGTCGGCGATCTCGTACGTGTCAGTAGAGCAAAAGCCGTCTTTGAGAAGGGATACGAGGCCAAGTGGAGCGAAGAGATATTTCGAATTCATCGTGTTCTCGAGTGGCGAAATCCGCGCGTTTACGAGCTGAGTGATTTAGCGGATGAGGTTATAGACGGAATTTTCTACGAGCAAG